TCTGCAAATTGCAGCGGGAGTAAGACCAAGGAAGCACGTAATTTATCCTACCAATAATAAATGCTAGTTTGTTATCATACAATGTCGCATGTGTGCATAATACATTCGTCTAGTTTTAATGTTTGTAGAAAGAAAGTGTTGGTGCATTTTAACCCTTGTAAGCTTGTAAATACTACTGAAAAGGTATGACACAAATTAAGACTGATTGTAATATTGACTAACGTTGTAGCATAAATCAGAAAATAGAATGAAATAAATTATCAACTTGAACATCCTTGAATCTGTGCCTTTCGCAGCCTTGGTCCTGTAGAACATGTGCTAGGGTTAGCCAGGTTTGCAAAGTTTACCAAGGAGCCTGGGGCTATACAGACTTTCTACGAGGGTCCTGAAGGGACTGGCATTTAACCACTGGGAAAGGGATGAATAAATTTGAAAATGGGAGGGGGATTTCTCTTGTTTTAGAGGAGTGCGACCCTATGATTTCATATATCTGAAGAAACGATCCAGCTTTTTGAAATAGAGAAATACAATTCTGAATTAGTAAACCTCAGTTGAAAGCCAGAATCACTTTTTTTCCGCTTCCGGGCCTCACTTAGTCTGCTACACATGGCGTGTTCTTTGTGTCTTCAAGCAACGCTCCCTGGAGAGGAGCCTAAATTCTAGCTAACAATTTCCACATGGTTCCGTAATTAAGTTCTGTCAGTTTCCTTGCTCAGCCGTTTTTGATGTCGATAAAATGACATGCAAACTGGGAGGAAAAGATCAAACTGCTTTTAATTAATTACGTGTATCAATTTGCAAACAGCCACTGGGAATGAGATTTGGACCAAAACGAGGCTAAGCTCTGTGATTTGGTTCCCCCATCTCCCCCCGCCCTCCTCATTCTTCAGTACCGTCTTTTACAATGAGCCTGGTTTGAGACCAAAAGATATCTTTTTAAATCTTACCCAATTGTTTCTAGTCTTTAAAGGTTGATCATTTTGAGCATTAAGAAAAGCTAAGAATGCTTCATGCTTTAACGACGCTGTGGATCCCACATTGGATTGTCACGCAGTTTGCACGTGAAAGCTTTCGAATTTACCGCTTTTGTGGTTCGTGTATGAGAGAATACGACTTAATGTAATTAACCCAAAGGCTTTAAAAATAGAACGCGGTTTGCACGTGAAGATGTTGGACTCTGCCCCTTTTACGGTTCAACCGTGAAAGAATGCAACTTGTTTACGAGGTCATTTTGCTCAAAAAGATTTAAGAAATCACCTCCTTTCCGAAAATTTGTAATTAAATTATGCATCATTCAATATTATAGGAAAATTCATTACCTGAGAGGGAATTCCACGTTAAATTGCACGCGAAAACCGATATCGCACGAATCGCGAAGCGATGAGTGCGATATCGGTTTTCAAGTGCAATTTAACGTGGAATTCTCGAGTCAGGTAATGAATTTTCCTTGAATCGCATAATTGAATAAAAATCAGAAGAAAAAGAAAGAAAACAGCAATAATATTGTTTGTTTTTATCCTGAGCGCGCGCTCCAGAAAGCCATTTCAAAGTCAACTGTCAGAACTGTCATTGCGTTAGCGAATAGGAGGCAAGGTCAGTCGTACACGTTTGAACCTTCGACAACTTTTTTTGTACCTTGTGCTTGTTTTTACATTTGTTTTCAAACTTTTTTACGTGTAAACAAGCTTCACACTAATCGTAAGGATAAATAGAGGTATTTTACAGAATTTAGAAGCCGTTTATGTAGAACGTCTTTTTTCAAATTGGTCATTTGCTCGAGAAGGAAAATAATTTACACCTTTTACCTCTTCGGCGGCAAAACGGAAAGAAATCAAGTGTCCAAGCGAAAGCACTGAAAGTTTAACATGTTTAACGTCGCGATTAACATAAGGTAAGTACCTTGAAATGTTTTAGAAATGCTGTTCAAGTTCAGCTCTGTTTTGTACTTTTCTAAGTACCACGATTCAGGACGATTGCAGGCGGCGTACTCTTTTTCGTGTTTTCAGGGGCCATGTCCTCTTTGAAGGTATTTATTTCTTCTTCTGTATATGGGACAATCGACCCCGGCACTTCCTCCGTTGTCGCTTCTCCGTTTTGTTTGGTTGAAATTTGGATTGCCATTTTCTGGGCCGTGTTCACAGGATTTTCTTGTTTCTTCTTTCAGGATTTCCGTGTTCACAGGACTTTCTTTTTTCTTCTTTTCTTTTTTTTTCGTTGTCGCGAGTGAAAGAGGTTTTATGTCTCTTCGAGAATCTGTAGTTCAGTTCAAAACAAGGAAGAACCTCCGGCTCACTTTAAAAAACGCTTTCGTTAGTTTTCAACTCTTCAAAAAGTGACAATGAATGGTTTTGAAAACATTTTAAAATGACATTGTAGAAAACCTTTTTTTGCATGTTGTTGTGTTAGAATTTGACGATAGTTGTTACGTAGATGCGAAACAATATCGCTTAGCCTCGTTTTCAACTCGCAATTCCACACTAAATACCTCGCTTCGTTAACCAATCAGAATGGGAGATTTTACTTAATTATGCGATTCTACCCTTAACTATCTCATGCACGAGTTTGATTATTGTCAAACTCTTGACAGTAAGCCAAACCATTCACACCGTGTGCTGCGAGGACCATTATTTTCCAAAGAGAAAATTTTAATTATTTAACAGTTTGTTTCACTCATTTTCGATTGTTTTTTCCAAAATGTTTATTTTCTTTTGCCAATTTGTTTGCCGTGCGCTATCTGTGGGTCGTATGTAACGAAGATAAACGCTGTGTTGTGGCACAGCGCGCCAGCAGACATTCGCGTCGCTTGGCTTGTTTAATGGGCTTGTTTACGTTTGCACGTCTTGCGTGCCTATTGCAACTTTAAATCAAAACAAGCGAACTCGATTACCCTATTTGGGCGACGCCCAAATAATTAGGAATCTCTCCACCTCTCCTTCTAACTCCCCTCTGCCTCCTCACCCCTACCCCCTCCGTCCCGACACCCCCTCCCCAAATAAAGTTTTCTCTCCAACGAAATGTTAGGTTTCAACTTTAATTTCTTAAAAAATAAGTAAAAAAATGCATAATACCACTGGCATCGTTACACAGCTGTTGCTAGTTGCACGACATGATTATCATGTCCTTAATATTAGTCTTTGCTTCAAGGGAAACCTTTAGGCGAGCTTCATCATGAGAAAACAGCCGAGATAACGCGACGCCACCACTGGCTTCTCGCGTGAAATGACGCCTGGCCCACAAACTCCATACTGATGACGTGTCACTACCTAGATCTGGGTAGTGCCTCTGATTGGTCGTACCTCGTGGGAAATTTTCTTCAACCAATCAAAATCACTACCCAGATCTGGGGTAGCGATACGTCATCATTATGGAGTTTCTGCGCTCGTTTTTCAGACGTCATCCATGTCCATCGTTGCCATCTGTTGCAACTGACGACAGGAAACAGTTTCGATGCCTAAATTTAGTCGTAAAAAAGATAACTGGAACGTTATTTTCAATTGATTTGCACACATGTTTTAGCTTTTTAAAAGATAACAAATAGCGTGATATTAGCCCTGTTTACGATCTTTAATGAAAATGTCGTTTAAATAGGCAACGCCTTTGAACTTTGTCTGCAGCACTGCTTCCACTCTCGACAAGAGATAGTTTCTCAGGGGAATTACAGTTGATATCTTTGCCAAGGCACATGGATGGGTTGTCGACCGGTTTGTACCGAAAATATCTATAGTCGCCCTCTTCTCTAAGCTCTTGTACAAACAGGAACTCCTCGGGTGTGGTGACACTACATCCTTGATACCTCTGTAAACAAAATTGATTATGTAAAACAGTAATATATAAAGTGTTCAAACAAATCGAAATGGAAATGTCATCTTTTCCGGGGAGGCTCCGCCCGAAAGGCTTGGGCCTTTTCCAGGCTTCAGGTATTTTTATTAATTTTTTTTTCAGGTTCAGGTATATGATAGAGTAGGATCAGCTCTAGGATTTCACTTGTTGAAGTATATGAAAGGACAGGGAAATGTGTTATTTGGTCGGTAAAAAGACCCAAGGGCTACTAGATGAATTTTATGGCCGTGAGAAGTCGAGAATACGTTCTGGTTTTGTATTTTATTCATATTTTACGTCTCCAACAATTAATGAGTCCGCCCCGACCTTTTCCGTGGATGAACTTTCTAGCCACGCTAGTGTTGTTAATATTAAGACGAAGGCACCCAGAATTAATTTTTATTCTCATCCAGTTAGTATGGCCCGAGTTTCTGAAATCGTCTCTAATCTAAAAGTTCGGAAGCCTGCTGGTCCCGACGGAATACCACCCAAGCTGCTTAAAATTGCCGCTCCAGTAATAGCTGGACCTATGACTAAACTTTTTAATTATTGTATTGATGTAGGCGAGTGGCCATGTCAATGGAAACTTAGTAACGTCACCCCTGTTCATAAGAAAGACGACGAAACATCTAAGACGAATTATCGCCCTATTAGTGTCTTATCAGTTATACCCAAGGTGTTTGAGAAACTACAATTTGATCAATTATACAGCATATTCACACCAGTCTTTTCGGATAATATGTCAGGGTTCCTGCGTGGGCATTCTTGTTGTTCCGCTTTATTAAAGTTAACTGATGATTGGCGCCAGGCTCTTGACAATAAAAAGGATGTGGCGGTGATCGCTATTGACCTACCCAAAGCATTTGACTCGATTTGTCATAATTTATTACTAGCAAAACTGAAAGCTTACGGCGTTCAAGATTCAGCTGTGAAACTGATTCAGTCATATCTATCAGGCCGCTTTCAACGAGTAAAATGTAACGGGAAGGTGTCAGACTGGCTGCCTCTTCGCTGTGGAGTACCGCAAGGGAGTCTTCCAGGTCCGCTTTTTTTTCAATATGTTTGTGAATGATGTCAATTACTCAGCTGGATGTTCCTCCCTACGTCTGTATGCTGATGACACAACGCAATATATAGCCCATGAGAGCCCCTGCACACTAGAATCTACACTGAATCAAGATATAGAGAGATTAACCCTTTGGTTCACTGCGAATTACCTGCAAGTAAACGCTACTAAAACTCAGGCAATGACACTGGGGAAATCTCAGTACCCATATAATCTTTTTATTGGTGATAAGTCCATCGAAATTGACCCAACTCTCAATATTCTTGGCGTTACATTGGATCGAGATTTGTCTTTCAAGGCCCACGTGGCAATGATGCTGACAAAAACGTATGCTAAGATAGCCGCACTACGGAGGATTAAGCGCTTAGTTCCTTCGGACGTTATCATTTCCCTTTATAAAGCCTACGTGTTACCGCATTTAGAATACTGTTGCCCACTACTTCTGAGCATATCTAAAGTCTTGAAAAATAACATCGAACGTACCAATCATTATGCGATCAAGACAATCCTGAATTTAGGTAATTCGGCTAACTATGACTTTTGCCTAGCAATGGCTGATATGGACAAGCTTGAGCAAAGACGTACCCTGCAATCGCTTATCTTATTTTTTTAAATGTTTTCAACTAGATGGCCCTAATTATATTTCCAAATTTTTTACACCTCGGCTAACTAAATACAATCTACGAGACAGTGGATTAAATGTTGTGCAGCCTCCATATAACAGCCTTGTCATGCACAACTCTTATTTACACATGCATGATTGCCCACATATGGAATCAATTACCAACTGTAACCGAATCCTCGAGCACTTTAGCGCAATTTCGTGCTCGCCTTAATAATGTCAATTTCACAGGGTGCCAATGTATGAACTGTATATAACTTTATCTATTTTTACATTTTTACATACTCTTGGGCTAGTTTATATACATGTATAATTATACTGGTATAATTATATTTTTTAATATTTTAATCAGTTTATAATGATTTTTAGTTTAATAATGCATGTTCTTAGGTTTTTTTTTTTTTTTTTTTTTTTTTTTTTTCAGAAAATAGTTTCTTAAAAAAATTTTCCCAAAATTACGATGTTTTTAGGTTTTTCTTAATATTTGTATATACATAATTCACTTTTTATCCTGTTTTGTATTTTTTAGTTTGTCGAGCGTTTTTAACATGAGCTTCTGGCTCGGAAGATTGTATAAACACTTCCCACGTCTTCGACATTAAATAAATCATTCATTCATTCATTCATACCTTTTCGTTTAAAAATGGTATATATGAATATGTGTATAGTGTATATGAAGGGGCGGAGCCAACCGTATAAAACTTTGTTGAGTACCCCGGGGTTTCGTACTGTGGGCTTACCATTTTCCCTTTATTTAAAGTTATATTCTTGGTCATTGTTCCATATTTCTGCCTAGATTCTATGTTATTCCTTCTCGGTAGTTGTCACATGTTATAGAACGCGGAATTACTTTTATATTAAGTACCTTCAAAAATGTTAAGTATCATCTCTACATTAAGTACGGTTAACTCCCATTAAGAGGCCACTAGTTTATCAACCACCCTCCCATTACTGACTTCCATAAGCGGCCAGCGAGCGCTTGACAATCTTAGTTGGCTTCATTTTGAAAATATAATGAAGTAAAATACAGTCCAACATAATGTAAGGGATGATCTTGGGCCAGTAATGCCGCTCCCGTCCCGTGTTTGTTTCAAAATAAAGTATGTTTCTGCTAAAGGTTATTATAATTTATGACAAACCTTTATTGAGTGAACAATCCACATTAAGCGGCCAACTGCCGGTACCCCGAGGGTGGCCGCTTATTGGAGGTTCCGGAAGAGTACTCCCTATAATGGCCCAAAGGGGGATTCCCCCCCAAAAGGGATAGCTTTTTCAGGCTTTAGATAAATGAAAGGCTAGGTAAATCTGTAGTTACAAACGGTAAAAAGGCCTAAAAGGGCTACAAGATGCTTTTTGTGGCTGTGAGAAAAGTCGAGAAAACGTTCTGGTTTTGTGATTGTTTCATATATTTTAAAGAGGGTGCATTTACAGCAGTTAAAAGGGAAGCAAAGTTCTAAACTACAGGTATGTGAAAGGGGTACCATGATACGAAAGGGGTATCTTTTCCCTCAAAAATGGTATGTGAAAGGGGTTGGGCTAGGAAGTGGAGCCTCCCCGTATAAAACTTTTTCGGGTATTCCCTGGATGAAGATTTAACTGTACTCTAGTACGCTGCATACGATTGTGATGTCAACACACCTCAAACACTACTCTAGTTTGATTCGCCACCTTGAGCACATACTTTGCACCAGTATCCAGATGGGTAAACTGAATACATTTATTTTTGGTTTCCTTTATTTCTAAAAGCTGAAATCTTGATTCGGCATTTCCTGCAAAAGAAATGTTTAAATTAATGTGACGGTGATAAAGCTTTACGGTTGGTAATTAATTACAACAATGTACGCAGTAACTAAAGAAAGAGGCAAAAAAAAAAAACAAAACAATCCTAAACGGTAGTGATCGCAAACTGTTAGCAATAAAAAAATTAAACATATATATTTTTGGATATGTTATTAATCTGTTGTTAAAATACGTAAAATAAACCATACAAATTTATACATAATATATATTTAGCCCTCTTCCACACCTAACCAGAGATTCCCCCCTTTTTTAAAAACGCGTCCACACGTAGAGTATTCGAGTCCTTTTTTGCCCGTCCACAACAGCAAAAATATGAAACGATGGAAACACGATAACGTCCTTTACAGAGGATATACTATATGACAAAAGGCAATCTGCTCGTTCTTTTATGCTGGATGGTGTATGATAGCAACATGTCACAAAAGCAATGGGGACCTTAAGATCAGATGGCGACAAGGAGAACGTCATAAGAGCAATAGGTTTGAAAAGCAAAACAACAATATTGCACGTGTATCACACCTTTTTGTACAATTCTTTGCCGTTCTTGTAAGACTACCACGTGAAAAAAGCCTTATTTCATGTTTTATAGAGGACGTAA